CATATTCAGTAGTACAAGGTCGTTTTGGTCAGACTTGAAATGTTTTTACGTTTGACTATAACTTTTTTGCTGATTTTAAGCAGTTTTTTTGCGACAGTTGGTGATAGAAAATTAACTGGGATCTATTGAGAGTATTTCATCTTATTAAGTAGTATAGGATTGTTTTAGTCAGACTTGGATTTTTTTCGTTTAATTTTCACCTTTTTCTGATTTTAGCGTTTTTGTCAAATATGTGCTGAATAAGTCATGGGTAACGATATTGATTGTTTTAACGTGTTCAGTAGTAACAGGTCGTTTTGGTCATACTTAAAGTGTTTTGGAAAGTTATGTATTTTATATTATCAAGTAGTATAAGATCGTTTTTGTCAGACTTCGTGTTAATTTTCACTATTTTCTAATTTCAGTATTGGGAAAATTATTGCTGGATAAGTTATGGGAAACTATTGCAATTATTTTAACAGGTTCAGTAGTACAAGGTCGTTTTGGTAATACTGAGAATGTTTTGGAAAGTTATGTGAGTGTTTTATCTTATCCAGTAGTATAAGATTTTTTTCTGATGTCATTATTGATGTTGAAATTGGTGGTGAATAAGTTAGGACGATTTATCATGATTGTTTTAAAGCGCCAAGTAGTATAAGATCGTTTATGTCTGACTTGGGCTGTTTTTTCACTCAACTCTTACTCTTTCGCTAATTTAAGCGTTTTGTGATGAACATTTTTTTTTTTTTTTTCACTAATTTTAGTGAGTTGTTCCAACAAATAGTTTAATACTGTTTCTATTGTTGTGACTATTGGGATCTCAAATATAAGTTATAAAATGTAGCCAGGTAGTTGATGCGGTCGTGTTAGTATAGTAGATATTCAAAGGTCAGAAGGAGTTAATATTCGTCTCAGTCGAGAAGATTTAAATTATGAAAGAAAAGCTTTACTCTAACGCAACAGTAAACTCGAAGCAAACTCATTCCTTCTTTAAACAGAATGCTGAAGCAAACAAACAAAAAATAAAAACCACTAAAACCAGTCACATGGGAAAATATACGACAAAACAAAAGAACAGTGAAAATAAAAGGGAATAAAACTTCGCTGAAAGAAAGCAGCAGCAGCAGAAGAGTACGCATATACACGAGCTGTAATAATATCTTACCTTATTACTCTCCGTGAAATCCCTTTCAATAAAATTTCTTTCCCCCTTCTCCCCCTTACTTTCATTGCTTCTTCGGGCGAAGGAACGACTAGCGCGCAAATCGAGCGAGACGTCATAGTCGAGAGACGCAGTAAAAGCCGGAGATAAAGGAAAAGGGAGAGGAGGCCTGCGCGTGGTGAGATGTAGGAAGGGGGTGGAGGGAAGTCGCTGTCGCTGAGCGAGAAGTAAATGCTCTGCCTCCCTTTTCGTCTTTATCGGGGGACTCTGCGTTGATGTGAAATACTAAAAATAAAAGGGCTATGGGCTGGGAAGGTGCGTGGTTGGATTAGTCTCCCTGTAGCGCTCACTGGAGAGTGAGTTCAATTTTTTTTTTAGGTGGGTGATTTTGACTTTTCAATCAGTCGGAAGTTTTGATTAATCGTAAAAAAGAGGACGAAATTTTCAAATAGTTCAGTCAAATTAAACTCCTTATCAACTTTCTCCTTTATAATGACTGTATTATTATTAGTCTACACTATTTTTTTACTGTCTAACGATATATATAGTTTCGACAAATTATTGTATCTACTTTCAGTTAAAATTAAATAAAAGTTTCTCATTGCATCGGCAATTTCTATGGTAATTTTTTTACGAAAGTGATAATAATAATAATAATCGTACTGATGCCAGCTCGAGCAAACAACAATGACCGGTCTAATTGACTTTGTTTTTTCAGCGAAAGAAATTTTTCGCTTCACCCGGTTGGTACACAAACACGGGGAGAAAAATCAAAAACTACAGGACGCACTCGGATTTTCAAGAGCATCTACCTTCACAAATAGTTTTTTTTTTTTTTTTTGCGAGGCAAAGCGAGTCACTAGTGCTACTTTTGTTGCGGGATATGTCGAGAGAGAGCTATACTCTTTTTTCGTTCTGCTTCTCTTGTAGCGCGTTTACCAAAGCCTTTTATAATTAGAGTTTTTGCCAGTGGGCTGTTGGTTACTCTGTACTTAGCGAGGCGTTTTAAACTGGAAACGTGTTTTGAATATTTTTTTTTGTTACATCAGATTTTTTACGTTCTCTCTCCATCTCTCTTACTTTGCAGTCGTATTCAAAAGTTTGTTAACTAGAGGGCATATTGAAAAATTTTGTTGTTGTTTCGTTGCATCATTGGGTACCATTGTTGGAATGCTGAACAAAGTTTCTTCAATTATTAGTTCATTTCAATAAAAACCGTACATAGACATTAGGTTTAAGTCTTTGTACATTGTAAAAACTGTAGTTGCGTTCAAAAGTGGATTAACCAATACGTCGCGATGCGGTACATTTTTTAAAATAAAATCTGTTCGTAGTCAGCAATTGATTTTGTCACAAAACTTGTACTTTAGCATTAAAAAAAATTTCTTTTACAATTAAAAAAAGTAATGAATTATATCTTGTAACGGAGAGAGTCTCGAAGAAAAGAGGATCATAATTAAAGTAAATTACGCCCTTTTTTCTGAAAACACTTTCATACCGTATGACAAGAAACACTATATTTTTTTTATTAAATTTCGTTTTCAAGAGCTCAAAAATCTATAAAATAATCGTACCAGCTCTTAGCCCAACCATCCCAAGGACGATTTCTCTCCCGGACTTACATTAGGACAAATCTTGACGTGAAACACAGGCATGGAAAATTTTTCAAAAACGCCACCCCGGCTCATCCTATCTGTGCAGCAGAGCGAAAAACTTGGATGATAATTCAAACGCGAGTTCACCGCGAGCAAGGCCGGGGGCGCACGGAGGAAAAAAAAAAGGTGCAACGAGCACGGCACAACGGCAGAAAACGCAATAACGCGAGCGCGAAAGTGACGGACGCGCGCGCGAACGAGCGAAATAGACTGCTAGCGTGAGAATAAGAAGCGCAAAAATGGGGGTGGGGGTAGGAAGACGAGCCGAGTGAAAAATGAAGGAGAGCCCGTGTCTCTGTCGCGTCGCGTAGCGCGCCGAGGGATGTATGCAGGCTGCATAATTTACGAGCGCCTCGTCTTTTCCGCGCCCCTGCGCTGGGGACGAATGTTTTCCCATATTTCCTTGTTCACGGGAATTTTTACGCTACCATGGCGCGCGTAAAAACTATCGGCTGGCCTGTACCTACACTGTTCCACGGGGGTGGGAATGGGAGATTGCGAGTATTATTTTTTTTCTGCGGCTTTGTCCTTTTGATGCACGGGCCGGTTGAGCATTACCTTAGCACTCACATTTACGTTGATTCAAATCCATTCTCTATGATGGCACTCGAGAAATTGTTCAATTTCTAGGAATATAACCCTTTTTAATCATAATGACATCATGTCAACGGTTTAATCTCCATTTATACTATTAACGACGTAGCGCACTCGATTAGATATGAAAATTATATTTCATAAATTATATAATGGTTATTCAATTTTTTTTAGGGAAAAAGTATAGAGCAGGAATTATTCAGCTTTTATGCATCTATAAAAGTTAATCTGATCAATAAAAAAAAAAATAATAAATAAACTCACCATACAACGTGACACGTTTGCCCAGTAAACCCAGTAAGCGTCACTTTAGCAGAGTCTTTTTTCTTACGATATTCTCTTGATAATTTCATTGTATACTCATATTAAGAGCATTGGATAATCTGTTCAACAGAAAGTTCATTAAATTTTACAAGACACAAGTACAGAAAATCCTTATTAAAATTTAATCCAGCATCATGATCACAATCTATTATTTTTTTATCAATAACTTATTAGGGCACCGTTAAAATAGTATAAAAACTTTGAAATTCTCATGTACGAAATTACTGTATTTGCGGTAAAGGTAACACCTTAAGGGCATTGCTAGAAGTAAAAAAATACTGTGTGTCGGTAAGATTTTTTTCTACTGTATAAACCGAACATTATTTCCCCTTAAAGTAGTTAAAGTAATACCTACGCAACACTTATCAAGTCGAACGTAAATCGTCGTCTTTTTGATATGAAAGTCCTGATCACCGTAATCCTTCAGATATTAGTGGCAGCTCTATCGATAGACAATCAGCAGTTGGTCCAAGACATTGGGTAGAGTAGTTTTTATCTTGCCTTAGCCAAGAACGGCCGCAATACAATGCTCTTTTGGACCCTGCCTTTTGTAGAAAATTTAGTGGTGACACTTTGTCTCAGTACTTACTTCAGTAGACTCTAGAGCTTAACAAGCACAACTTCTACAGAGTAGTGGTCTTTGCTAAACGACTGAATAAAATAGTAGTTCGAATAATCGAACAATAAGAATAAGTTTTTACTGATGTTACTACGTTTTACTAGTTACTTGAGTTGTGAGTACCAGATTATTTAGCACCTCTATGAATATTTGAGGTCACTTATTAATTGGATAAACTTTTACATCACCACTTGCGTAGGTACCGTGTAAGGAAAATTGTTTAGCACAAAAAAAATATGTTTTGCGTGTACGTCCACCTAAAACAACTTATAATGATGATATACAAGTAAAAAAAAAAACATGTTAAAAGAAACGTTATCATTACTTCCGGAAACGGCAATATTATCTTAACTGTCTCAAATTGCTCAAAAGTTTATCTCTTTAACGAGGAAAATTGATGTGCTAAAATATTGTTTTTGTTAACATCGTCTTGAGAAAATTTTTAAAATCTGTCTTTAAACTCGTATTGGAATGACGAATAAATTAAGCGCCCTAAAACAAATTGAGAAAGGGAGTACCTTCTTAAAATTAAACTAACTTAAAGAGCTCTAGTTATCGTATTTTCTTTCTGCACATGTAACAACTGCCATTCTTAAAATAATTTCCTAAGTCATTCTGGTATTTTTGTGTAACTTTTTTTTATGGAATTAATGTAATTATTGCGTTATACCGTTTTAAAAACTTATATTGTCTGTTATTCTCCTTCCTCGTAAACAGTAAATAATAGCACTAGATTGTTAGGGATGGAACTTAATCATTGCATTTTTGGTTATAAATTTTTTATCGGGAGGAAAGAGAAAATCTGCAATAGTTATGCTCATTGTATTACAATGAGTACCATAACTAATTTATATGACGATCTAGTTTGTCGCAATGTTTTTGTTGATCCATTCATTGAAGTATGACACTCGAGCAAACACCGAAGGTGGTTGGCCACAGTTCACCGGTCCCCAAGACACTGCACCAATGAGTATCTTCAGATCGCTGTAATACGTAACCAAAGGACCACCAGAATCACCCTGAAAGTAAGGATTAGCTTAATTCAACGACTTTTCAATTGAATATAGTTTTATAGATTTGCAATCAATACCGGACAAGTGGCCTTTCCAAACGATTGCGGCCCGCAGCAGAGATTCGTCTCACCAACAAGACTTTTGACCATACTCTGACAAGTTTCACGATCGATCAGCGGTAGATTGACCGCCTGCAGACTCGATGATCCCGAGTTGGTATTATTCGAAATCTTGCCCCAGCCGGAAACTACCCCCTCACCCACAAACTCGATGTTTGGAGGTGCAATGGCCACGGGCTGGACGCGTTGGGTAAATTCGAACAAAGTCTCAAGTTTGATGAGTCCCATGTCGTACGGACCTACTTTACCGCTGAAATGATTGTTGGTAATGTTTGAATGTTTATGTTTGAATTTCTTTATGAAAAAATGAGGAAAAAAAAACACTTACTTGTCCACGTATTTTTCGTGCGTTATGACTCTTGCCCACACCGAGGATTGTTCTTCCACTTCCTTTTGATCGAGATTGATCTTTCCAGCTTTGACCAAAAAAACTTTATCAGGATATTGTTTCTTCCTTGAGGTACAGTGAGCCGCAGTCAATACCCAGTTGGGACGGATGATACTGCCACCACAGAAATGGCTGGCCTTGGCTGCAGTCGAGCCCATCTGTAGGCTCACTTGATACGGAAACTCGCCGGGTTTCGCATTGCAACCACCGGCTATTAGGGGCTCGATTCCCTGGAGGACGGATGATACACCTGTAATTTCTGCAATTTTTTTTTGTTTGGTTAAGATCTAGTACTGTAGTTGTTTGGCATCCAAGGAAAACAAAAAATATATCTCTTAAGGACCTCTATGAGATTTTTCTCTCCAAGCCATATTGAGTTAGTTTTCATCAGAAAATCCATTGCCTGCAAATTAATAATTGACATGTGTCTGTTGTTAAGAAATCCATACTGTTGTTTTCTAATTCACATGTAAACTGTTAATTTACACGTCACATGATAACTATTAATGGTTGTTATCAATTTTTAAGATTGACTTTCTTCTGTATTAATAATTGCATCATTGACGTAGTTGTAGTAGAAGGCAGGTATAATTTCGAATATTTTTTTAACCAAGAAATAGTGGAGAAACGGAAGAATCTATCGGGGTTATGCAAATTTTTTTGGGAGAACTGGTTGTTCATGTAAGACCAAATTCAAAGGGATATGGAAAAAACGATTTTCTTGTAGAGACCCAGGATTGAGTTTTGCGAAAAAAATTTATGTGTATATTTGTCTTTGATTTTCGCAAAAATACATTTTTAATATTAAGCTTTTTGATTCACTAATATTTAAAATAAGGAATACATACTCTGCAGTAAAAATATGACATCCAAAAATATTTCACGTACAGTTACAAGGGCCCACGAAATGGTTGAAAAATTTCATTGACACTGAATTATATTAACTAAAATCAAACTTAAAGAAAAATAGATAAATAAATAAATTCTTCTGAAAAAAGTATAACTTTACACGTTTCTTTCAAGTTTGAGTAACATCATGAACCTTTTTGATTACAATATTTTTTACATCTTCATTAGTGTAATACCAGCAAAAATTTTATTTTTCCCTTGCTACGAGACATTATACATTATCAACATAATATGCAGTGTTTTTTTTAAGGAGTAAAAAAAGTAAAAGTCTTCTGTGAATTAAAAAGTGTATGGCTTTTTTTCTATCTTCAAAATAAAAAATTGAAAGTTGTAAGTGATAACACAGTTTTTATTTACTCCAATAGCAAAATAAAAAAATATAAAAAATTTATAAACTATCTCTACAAATGACAGACAAAAACTAGTTAAAAATGTAGTGTTCAGTATCCAACATAAAAATAATAGAATATCTTAAGATGTAACTAAAAAAAATTACGCCAACGATATAATTTTATAACATAGAAATTAAGCATTTATAATATACTCCAGCGATTAAAGCTTCGACAAAACTCCAATAAAAAGTCTAAATATTACTCACCTGCATTACAGGTCAACAAAATGCACGTGATGACTAGACAAGTGATATTCATGTTACAAGTTTGATAGACTGACAGTCTTGCTGAACTCAAATGTGGCTATTTAAATGCTTTATACTTAGGGAAACTCTTTTCGATGCGAATAAAAAATAATTACGCAACTGTACAAACACTGACCCATTAAACTTAGCACATTAACCGTATTTTATTTTTCCCCGTGTAATAATTAACGCGGTTATGCGTGTTTTCTAATTTTTTGTCTGGCTACTTCTTTTTATTTTTTATTTTAATTTATCGCAAACACAACACGAAAACTTTAGCTGATTTCTGTTGTTGATAAAAACTCTTGCCACGGAAGCACTTTTTGTGTCAGCATATGCAAACAAAACTTAATATTATAATAATGAAATACTTAATATGCAAATCGATGAAAAAAAAATTGATTAATATCTGTAAGCTTCTTGAACTTGAAACATGTACTTGCGTTACAAAGGATAAAGTAAAAATTTTGATACAATAATAAGATATGTTCCTATCAACTTGTTAATTTTTTAAATAAGTATCCTCAATTTAATTGATATGAAAATTATACGAGGTATTATATACACAATTTTTATCACACAAAACTCTCTGTAACATTACAGAAATGATAAATTATTGTTAACCATTTAGATATCGTTTAAAATCTGATATTTCATGGCCAAGAAGAACAAAAAGTACGAAACAACGGGTCATAATGTTTTAAGGATTTTTTAAACATGACGACTGCAGCAATAAATTATGAGTCAACATGACAAAGGCTTAACCACACCATGATCGTCTTAAAAGTATGGTTTTCACGTAGTTAAAATTATTGTAGAAATTAAATCGTTGACAAAATGAAATTTGCTTCTCCAAAATTTTTTCTAACTTTGATAAACACATCTTGCAGTAAGCAATTCCAGCAGCTTACGAAGTACAATATTTGTTAATGCAAGTTAATTGAAAAACTGATTACCTGTAATGTTGGATGTAACTTGGATGTAATCAAACAGCGAAAATAGAAGTGAGAGTTACACAGAAAGAGAAATTTGAAGGGATTGGTAATAAAACACATTACAAAAATACGGGAACACAGACGAGAAAATATCATAGAGGAAAAAAGCACCAACAATACTGTTAATAACTTATAACATCGTAACAAACAGTTTAAAAAATAGATTTAAAAAAAAGTACGAAAGTAAAAGATATAAAAAACAAATCTTTAGAGATGGAGATCAATTTAATATTTTATCTGTCGGTTTTATAAATTCATTCAAACAAAAAAAAATTTCATTAAGGTCATGTAATTGTACTGATAAGTTTCAAATTATAAATTTTCCACTGTAATGTTTTCTCACAAGACTAAAATTTGCTAAATCCTTGATAATAACTCAAGAAAAATCTTAAACATTTTTAATTCACACCAAGCTTTTACCATAACGCATTTGTAAAAATTACCATTCCAGTATCAAACAGAAAAATACACAATACGATCGTATTTTCAAATACAATGAAAAATTGCGATTATCTAATTTGTAGCCATTTTGTTATTGATCCAATTAACAAAGTATGACACTCGAGCAAACACCGAAGGTGGTTGGCCACAGTTTACTGGTCCCCAAGACACTGCACCAATAAGTAACCTAACATTGTTGGTGTACGCTACCAAAGGACCACCAGAATCACCCTGAAAATAAAGATACATTTAACAGTTTTCAAATTGCACAGACTAGTGAGCACAACATCTTTAACAAAAAATTCCTTAAAACAGCCATACCGGACAAGTGGCCTTGCCAAACTTTTCCGGTCCGCAGCAGACATTGGTCTGATCGACAGTCGCACTGACCATACTCTGACATGTTTCACGATCGATCAACGGCAGATCGACCGCCTGCAAAATTCCTCGTCCCGAGTTGGGATCATTTGTAGTCTTGCCCCAGCCGGAGACTGTCGCACTACCTTTGAACTCTACATTTTGAGGAGGAAGTTGAACCGGCTGGATGCCTTGGGTATATCGGAAAGGCGTCCGGAGTTTGATGAGTGCTATGTCGTACGGACCTACTTTATCGCTGGAAAAAGTCGTTGGTAGGTGTAACATTTTAAAAGTGGAGGGAAAAAACGAACAAGAAACACTTACTTGTCCACGTATTTTTCGTGCATGATGGCTTTCGCCCACACCGAGGATTGTTCGCCGGCTTCCTTCTTCCTGAGATCAGTTTTTCCAGCTTTGACTAAGAAAACGTTTTTGGGATATTTTTTCAGAAGCGCCGTACAGTGGGCCGCCGTCACTACCCAGTTGGGTCGGATGATACTGCCACCGCAGAAATGGCTGGCCTTGGCTGCAGTCGAGCCCATCTGTAGGCTCACTTGATACGGAAACTCGCCGATCCTGGAATTGCGACCACCGGCTATTAGGGGCTTGATTCCCTGGAGGACTTCTGTGATTCCTGAAAATTTTCTGTTTGATTATTATCGTATATAAGTCGTCCACCTGAATAGAATTGAGACTAACACGATCTTGAGAAAATGTGTCTCTGGAAGCCGTTCTAGGATAAATATCAATCAATCGGTAAAAAAAACTTTTTTATTCTGTGAAGAACTGCTTGGGAGTCACCTGAAATTCATGTACTAACAAAAAATAAGTTTTCTTGTAAATAACGTTTGAGAAAGAATTTTAACAAGCCTGATATATCTTTAAGTGATTAATCAAATGTAATAATAATATTAAAAACTGCCATTAGTTTCAAAAAAAAAAATTTTCTTCCGTTTGTCCAAAAAAAGTCAAATAGTTTTTCTTATGAAACCTTAAGTTTCTTGAACAATTAATAAAAAAATGTACACTATGAACTATTAGATACCGCAGTTTGGATTTTATGAAAAAACACGTCATTCAGTATTTTATTTATAAATAAACTAGTGAAGTTTCATTACTTATTTTAGTAGATAAGAAAAAAATTATATCAAACATAACTTTTTATATTCAATACAATGGATAGAAGTTTTGAAAAGTAATTTTTTTTTCTTAAGAATTAGTATTAAAAATTTTAATAAATGAAATGAGAAGAACTGCTATGTACGTGTATGATTTTTTTATTCCAAAAAAAGTCATTAGTTCTTGCAAAAAATCTTTATTAAAAAGGAAATTATACTATACAAAAAAAATAAACACCATCTGGTTTATATTTTAAAATTAAAATTTTAGTTATTAATTTTTCTCAACAATTTCTAAATTTGATAAGAAATAAAGAGCAAAAATTTTTAGACATATCTTACAATGTCATGGGTTTTTTTTTGTTATTGTGGTCGTTAATGTTGTTGAAAAAATTTTAAATATCATACTATATAAATAGTTTCGAAGATATTAAACATCCTCTTTTTAAATATCATAACTATAAAGTTTACTTTGAACTGTAACCACAGCCAATCACTACTCACCTGCATTGCACGTCGCCAAAATGCAGGCAGTGACTAGAAGAACGATATTCATTTCACGCACTAGTGAGAGACTGTCAGTTAGTTTCAACTGAAATATAACTATTTAAAGGTTTTGTCTTTAAGGATATTTTTCTCGGGTGTGAATACACAACAAACACGGAAACGCTCAATTGTTTGAACATAATAATATTTTATACTTAATTTTTCCTGCTTGTAACGATTACAACTCTTTGACGTATTTTCTTATTTTTCATGTAACTATCCATTTTCATTACGTTATTACTTCAATTTATCACAAAGCAGCACATATATATCAAGTAATTTTTTTTTTTGATAAAACTAACATTGCGGAAAAGCTAATTAGCTGTGGTGGTATATGCGTGTAAAAGTTAATATTACTTGCGTAAAACAGTCAGTACACGCTCTAATTCGATAAAAGAACTTATGTTGGATCACACATATGTTGATAGTTGAATCTAACAATCATTTGTTGGATTCAAATTTCGAGGATAAGTTATAATTTAACTTTATCGAAGCAGTCATTGAATTTGGAATGAGATATTGGAACTTACCTGACAATTATAAGTGCAACATTGTTCTCTCATCTACCTTTCTTCTTTTACATTGAAAACAATTTTTTTTCACGATCAAGTAATTAATAAACTGTATGTAAAATCAGTTAAAAATTACGTTGTTGTCGAATGAACCAATTTATTATATTACAGTGGAATTTGTGATATGGTCAATCAGAAAATTTAACGAAACCGTTCAGTTTTGACCAAACATTTTAATTTCAACTGGAAGTACATGAAATTATTGGGAGGAATAACTATATAGTAAAAATTAGCTTGTTAATCAAGTTGTTTTATTTTATTCTGTAAAAAAACGAATCGGATCAGTTTGACTATTTTTAGCAGCGATAAAAAAAAAGTAATCAAAATATTTTTGACCAACCATTTTACGTGCTTTTAAGCTTAAAATTAAAAGTAGAATAGTTTTGCTGTCTCTCCTACGATAAATATAACTTAATATAAGGAAAAAACATAGTGTAGTTTCGCCTTGCCACGAAGATTCGATGGCTTAATTTCCTCCAGTCTTTTTTGAAAGAATTTTCACCCATTTTGACAAAAATCATTTATTCAATTTTCAAGATGATCACAACTTTTGAGAAGCCAAAACTTGAGCAGTTAGTCGAATCTACTAACCAGTTTTAAAGATCGGTGCAATAATTAATAAAAATATCCTTTCATCTCCAAACAAAAAGTCTCAAAAATAGCGATGTATAAGCTCGTGAAACGAAAATTGTGAATCAGCCGCTCTGATTTTTCAACTGCGTGCCCCATTTCCCGTGAGTCCAAAGGGATTTAAGCCAAATCGAGCTCCACGTTAAATTCACAAAGGTTTTTTCCCCGGCGTGCCCGAAAATATACCGCCACCGGCGCTTCGGAATTTCAATGGTCGAGGGGAAAAGCCCAATAAAATAAATTCGAAGGGAGGGCCACTCTTTGTGCCAGGGAGGCCCGCGAAGATAAATAGTCACTCTCGCAGCTGGACGTTAATAGAACGGCCCTCTCTCGCACGTGCACGCGCGGCACCACACCATGTTGCATTTTTTTCCGCTCTCCCGCGAGCCCTTGGTCGATGGGGCTGGAACTGCGAGATATCGAGGGATTGAATGGAACCATGAACGTACTTTCGCAATTTTTTTTTTTTTTTCTAGGATTATACTGGTGCAGGTCTTTGTTTTTTGAGTAAAGTGGATGGATGCGTTGCGCGTGAACAGTCGCTGATAAAAATTTGGCGACTCGTTCTCAAAATAGATAAAAGTGTTCGGTAAGAAAACAATTTCCGCGGGTAGAGTCCCAGGTGCGTAACAAGCGCTCGCCCGATGAATCCTCTTTTTTGTCGTTTTCTCGCCAATCGGGGAAACCTACCTTTTCTCCTCTCACCCAGTGGATCCCAAAACGCGTTCGTGAATTTACGAACCAGCAACAACGAAATGCACGGAGGCTCAGCTGGGGCCTCGTCTGTTTGGTACGCGGAATTGCCAATCCCAAGCGAGTTGCATTGAATTTCGGGCTCTTTCTGTTCCTCTATTTCCTTCTTCGATGAATATGTGCCGGAGGTTGGCTGGTTGCTGCGGAGGAAGGAAATTTCGAGCGATCCGCTTGCTGTTGTCTTCGGTTTAGCTGACAGGTTTTTTTCTTTTTTTTTTTAACAACTTAATAAAACCATTGAGGAGTGAACTGCTTACTAGAATGTAAGAGAGGAAATGAGGCTTGCGAGGTTTTTTTTTTTTTTATTCAACTTTACACTGATTTTGTTAGGAAATCGAAAGAGTAATTTTAATAATTTCTTGCACATTTTTAAAAAGTGGTTTCAAGCAAAAATTTCAAGAGGGACTTTTTCCAAAAAGTTCGTTAAATCCCTAAGAATGTTTTTTCTGGATCTAAAAATTTTGTAAAAGCGCTTACAAACTCAATAATCTACAGAATTAGTTTTGTAAAAAAATAAAAATTAAAAATCAGTTATTCCACAAAAATCGTGGAAAATTGATGAAGAAATAATTAATTTTTGATAATTTCTAGTCGTTGTACATTTACAAAGTTCAAAAATACATTCAAGAGAAAACAGGTCTGCCTCAAAAACATTTTCCGTCGAAATCCTGTGGAAGTAAACAAACAAAATCCGAATGCCGTTTGAACAAAGTCTCAAAAATCACCAACAGCCATCCGAAAACAAAGCACTGATGATAATGAAACGTCAACCACACGAAAAAAAAAAAATCCTCCAACCTGAACCCCATCACGCCCGTGCATACGTGGTGTACAATATCCATATACGCAAACGCACAAGAACGGCGTAACGACGACGAGCAACCCGAGGAGCAGCCGGACAGCCCAAGAGCGAGAGTCACGTCCGCTTGTTTCCTGCATACGTGATGTTTTAGCCGGCGGCGGCCGAGTCATTAAACCCCTCCCGTCCCCATTACCAGCGAAGCTCCCGCGGTATCACCCCCTCGCTGAAACTATACCCGGAATTAATGTATCGATATATCCCGAGCCCCGGCCGGAGATGAGAACTACGTGCCCCACTAGCTCCGGCTCGTTTTTCCCCTGGTCGGCCTCTGTGCGCAACGTATCCTGTTGCACGCTTGTGGGCGTGGATAAATATTTCAAGGGGACGTGGGCTACGTGATTTACTTTTTTTCTCCTAACTTTTTGGTACAAAGTCCGAAAATGACACCTCACCTATAGTGTTCGTCTCGACGTCTGACCAAACTCGACTTACTCTACTCATTTTCCGCTCTAAAGGGCTTCATTTAAATCACTAACCAGGAACTTTCAAAACGAAAAACCAAAGGACGCATTCACTAAGACTTTGCCTTTGTCCCTGGAAATTCGCAGCAATCGCAATTGTCACCCTTCCCCAGGACTCTGCCGCTTCACCTGAATAGTAGCCGAATTTTCCCAACTTTGCCATTAAAACGCTCAAATAAGTCACTTTAACCCCTACCCACCCATCCGTCGAATGAAAAGAAGAGCCTTTAGTAGAATAATACGACAACACGGGTGGTGAACCTTCAACCCCGAAATCGAGCTCTTACTACGTGCGAATGGCTAAGAGCCCCATTCTTGTCTGACTTATTTCTTCCACTTCCCTCTTTTTTTCGTGTACCCAGTAATCATTTTAGACGGAAATGAAGTAGCGCGAGTTGAAGTTGGTGTCTCCCTTTTTTTTAGTAAAATTCAATGGTTTTCATACCCACGGCCGATCGTAAAGAAGGGCGGTGTAAAACTTTCATCCGCAGCGAGACAAAAAAAAAGAATAAAATATGTATCGCGCCTCCTTTTACGGTGGGTGCGCGCAACACTAACCTATTTACGAGGCTCCAGGAATATTCTTCCCAAAGCTGCTTTTTTTTTTATTAGGATCGCCTTTTACAGCAATATGTGCCTCGGAACGTGAGGAAGAAAAAAGCGGACCGGCCGTCCGCTTAGCGCCTTTTTTTCTCGCTCCGATGTACCGATACGCAACAGCGCCCGGAACGACGGGGGCAGTAAAAAACTTGCTCTTAAATTTTCCGACGGATTTCGCGCCGCTTAAGTCTCTTCTTTTCCTTTGCCCGTAATTTTTGCTGCTACACGTCGACGCTGTTTTTCCCTCTCCCGTGCTTTTGTACTTACGATTTTTTGTTGCTGTTGTTGTACTAACTTCATTTTTTATGACTTGCCAAAGTACTTTTCGCCAAATTGTTTGCAGAAATTGTGTACGTTTTATTTTGGTCGTTAAATGAAGTACAGTATGGAAAGTGAAATATGGCCATTGGTTACTTTGTTTCGACTAAATTTCATGAGCTATTACACTTAATTATAGCTTAGTGAAGTGGCACTTCATTTACGGCCGGTAAGTATAGTGAGATGAGTCTCAGAAAATTTCTTTATTTCGAAACAAATTGGCCTTTATTTTAAAACATGAAAAAACAACAAAGTTTGTCAGGTATCAGTGCTTCTATCTCAAAAGAATAAATGAAACGTAAAATTTACCATCGAACCACTGCATTGTAATCACTACTAATAATAAGACATACTTTGTGAGTGTCTATTCACATATTATCATATAATAAATTCAGTAAACTTTTATACAAAAAAAAATATATATTCCTTTGCATAACCAAAGGTTACACTATCGTACTCCGTAAAACTTTAACGAAAAAAACCTTTGTACCAATTTACAAGTCTCATTAACAGTCCAAAACAAGCTCGCAACAACCATCAGTCTCCTCCCTGGAAAAGCCACAGCGACGTGGGCAACAAAATAGCCCACCCTCCCTTACCTTGAAGTCCGTTCGAAAAACAGCGGCGCACTGCACTGGTACGAAATTAACATTTTGTTTTGCCAACGAGTAGGGAGCGGAGGGCCGGTCTCGACATTTAAATTTTCATTTCGGCAGCCGTTCAACGAGAGCAGGTATCTGCACCCCACCAGGGGCTTCATTAAAGCGAGCAGCCCCTGTCATCGGCGCTTAATCCCACTCTCGTTTCCCTACCCCCATACTGCATGCTCGGGCTTGATAAACATAAGCGT